GCAGTGCTACTTGATGCAGTAAGTTCAAGCATTTCATTGAGGGATGCAGTTAGAGAACAGAAATGAACTATATAATCAATTAGTTTAGGGGCACTTATTTAATCCTTGCTCACCTCACACCCTGAATATTCTTATGCAAGCTTACAGCACGCCAAACATGACTCAGTTGCAGGTTTACAGCTGGAAGTGCACCAGAATCTTATTTCAGCAGCCAATGATATAGCACAGAGAACAAGCCCAGTTTACTTGGTTAGGGGTTTCATTGGCTTAGTTTCCTGGATGGCTGGTTTATGATACAGAGCAATACCAACAAGCATGAGTTCAATTCTTGCACAATCTGAGGTTGCCATGAAGGAATCTCCTTCTCAACTTCTCCCCTCACCTGAAGTATGAGAACCCTGAAATTGAACCCTGACCAGTCGTGCCTCTGTAATGAGAGAGCAGCTGTATCATCTGGTAGGTCTCTGGGAGCTGGAGTTACAATTTAGTACCGGACCATCAGTACTTCTTGTCCTGCTCTATTTAAATGGCTAAGATGGTGTTAGGAGGGATGGATGAGCAGCCTGTCCCATAGCACAACCTGTCAGCCTGGGGAAAATCCAGTAGCCAGTTGTTAAATTTAAATATTACCACAATCTAAACAATGTAGCCTTATTAAATATCATAAGCTTGAAGCTATCTCACGCCCAGGGTGTGTTACTCAGTGATTAACCAGCCCTTGGTACATAAACCAGAATAAAACAGAAATAGGAAACAAACACAGACAATTCTGGAGAAACTCAGCAGGTCTGACTGCATCTGTGAGGAGAGAAACAAAGTTAATGTTTTGAGTCCAACATTACTCTTCTTCAGAAGTCAGAAACCAGAAATAGGGTTGGGCTACACACATTGCAGTAGCAACTATTGGCCCCTCCAATATGACTATCTCCTGCCCATTGTGGATACAAGGAGTGGTTAAAATGCCACTTTTTTTGTTCCTCATTTGTTGTGAAGGTTCATGACGTATTACTAATATTAGGAAATTTGGGTGGAATTGTCCCCAGCTTTGAATGAAACAGGCAATGGCGAGACAGTTGGAAAAAATACAGTGAGAATGGAAAAATGATTCTCGCTGTTGAGAAAAATAGTCTGCATTTCCACCCATGGTTTCAGTGGCTAAACGAAAATGTCATGAGTGACCAGCAAGTTAATTGCATGCACTAACACCTCATTTAATGCCTAATCTCAATCTGTGTTCTGTGCAATTTGTCATTTTCCCAGGCAGCAGGGAGAAACCTGATGGTGCTAATTCATGACATAAACGTGAGAGCCTGGCAGCTGCTGCCATCTTCTGTGAGAATCCGTCTCGGGCAACATTTCCCAAAATCTCAGTGCATGCTCAAGGGCAATGACCAACTGCAGCCTTCATCTGCAGAGATTGGCATTAGCAATGCACTTTAGCAGTTTCCAGAACAGTCAGGGCAGAAGAAAATGAACCCTGAGTGATTTAGAAATTAATAAGCATTCCAGAAACAGAAAAATGTAAGGTGCCAGGGGGATATAATTTCAGAGGGCACATGATTGCACAAGTTTAAGGAATATTTGTAGGAAATAAGTGAACTGTATTAGCAGTTTGTTTAACAGTTTCATGAAGTGATATCATCTAAAGAATTATCATCATGTAAATGCAGAAGGTTGCTGAAAAGAAACCATATACAGCCAGTAAACAGAGTAGTAGTAACAGAGTGACCCTTACTGAGCTGTGCATATCTGTGAGGCTGTTATCGATGTGAAAAGGATTGAGTCTATTGATGATATTTCTAATAAGACCATTTCAAATCATTCTTATATTGTGTTAAATTGTTTGTTTCATTTCCCCTTTCATGCATAATGAACTTTGATGTTCTTTTGTTAAAAATTGCATCAGCAGCCTTTTGGGAATATTTTCAGTGGCTGACCATCACAGTAACCAATCAGCAAAATTTAAAACTCATGGCCCATCAAGCCAGGTTTCACACTGATAAAAGACTTGTCCAGTTTTATCATCAACTGGGATCATAATATATTCCTGCTTGTGGGACTTTGTTCTGTACAACCCGTTATGTTTGTCTACGGGTGACTGTACCTCAAAAGTAATCTGTTGATCTTGAAGGGCTTTAGATTGTCGTAATGTTATGAATGATGCTATATAAATGCATCGTGTTTATTTCTTTAATAATTGGTATACATTTGTTTTTCAGGTTGTTAAAATCATAGGAACAAATATTAATGGAGTTTTGAAATGTCTAACAGACCTAAATCATCAGATGCTTGTGAAATTTACTGGCACCAGTTGCAACAAATTGGGAAACATCTTTATATCAGAAGTTATCAGCTGTTGCTGCCTTTGGGATGTTACTCCCAGAGAAAACATAGACAATTATTTTGGTACTTTATTGTCACTTAGAGGAAGGCAGCAGAAAGAAATTATGATTGATATATTGTGCTATCAAACCTGGCATGAATACATTAGACTGGCAATATGCAGTTACAAAACATTTAATAAAATACCATTTCGGTTTTGTCCTGAATTTCGATGTGAAACTGTTAGAAAGCTTCCTGCTGTAGATAAAACACCAGGCAGTCAGCATGATCTCCCCTCAGGGGTTCAGCCATACAACTCTCATGAAAGTTCATCTTATAAAAGTTGCTCTGATATGATATATATCAATAATAGTCCATATTTCAAATTTGGCATCAGTCCTGAGTTTGAATCTCTAAGCCAGCTTCTATACGCTAACCAGCAAGTTGTTGAGAAATTAGAATGCTTAGACACACGCATTTTAACGTATTTCATGGAGGTGACTAATTCAAGTTATGAAAGACTTAAACAAAATCTCAAATTATTAGGATTTAATGTGGGATATCATTTGAAGTTTTATGATCCAAATGAATAGAGCTTACTACACTGGAGAGATTCCAATACTGAAGTCAAATTATACCAATGTGTTTGTCAAAAAGCTGTAAATGACGAATCAAGCTGATGTATGTAGCTGTGGAGTTTTACACTTTCATCTGTAAGATACAATGTATTGGACAGTAAATTGGAGACGGACTTTAAAGATGAGTTTGAGTCCCATGTTTGACAGCACAAATTGTTTGCTTTCCTATGGCCTAGTGCATCAAAGTACGGCTGCCCAGATATGCATTGCACATCCTGCAAGCAGGCAATTTGGTAATTGACCGAACCTTAATTTTAAAAGATGTAAACATTGAGCACAGTTTAAATTTTGTTTTTAAAACTGTCAATAAATTTCTAGCCTGGAATTGTGATGTGTTATACAATGTATGCATAAAATCTGTTTTTATCTTTTAAGTGAAATGTAAAAATTATGAATGTTAGCTTCTTTAAAAATGACACAGAACAATTTGTATAAAACAATTTGTTCAGACTTCAGATGTATCACAGCTTTAAGATCTATTATGGTTTTGTTTTCACACTGATCTGTGAAACTTGGTGGAATTAAATCATATCAGCTTTATATTCAGATGTGTCTCTGTCATTGTTCAATTCTTTTCCATTCAGCAAAGAGTTTAACCCATGCTATTAGCGTTTTACAGCTATCAAAACATTTTCAGTTTGCAAGAGTATTTCCTGGGCAAGAGTAGTTTATGGAAACAATTTTTTTGTCAGCACTGAGTGTTGATTACAAAAATCTGGTTTCTCAAATGATCAGAGCCATAAAATGTTTTGTAGATATTGATTACTCTGACTGCTGGAAAGAACATATATTTGTCAAAAAAAAATGAATGTACAAGACCCATCAGGAACCCATCTTCCTAAATTCAATATCCTCTTAATTATAGAATCATAGAGAGGTACAGCATGGAAACAGATTCTTCCATCAAACTTGTACATGCCGACCAGATATTCTATATTAATCTCGTCCCATTTGCCAGCATTTGGCTCATATCCCTCTGAACTCTTCTTTTTCAGTTACCCATCCAGATGCCTTTTAAATGTTGCTACTGTACCAGCTTCCACCACCTCCTCTGGCAGCTCATTCTACGCATGCACCACCCTCTGCCTGAAATAGTTGCTCCTTAGATCCCTTTTAAATCTTTCCTCTCTTACCTTAAACCTATGCCCTGTAGTTTTGGACTCCCCTACCCTGGGGAAAAGACCTTGACTATTCACCCTATCCATGCCCCTCATGATTTTATAAACTTCTGTAAGGTCGCCCCTCAGCGTCCGACACTCCAGGGAAAATAGCCTCAGCCTATTCAGTCTCTCCGTATAGCCCAAACCTTCTAAACCTGGCAGCATCCTTGTAAATCTTTTCTGAACTCTTTCAAGTTTCACAAGTTTCCTATAGCAGGGAGACCAGAATCACACAAAGTATTCCAAATGTGGCCTAACCAATGCCTTGTATTGCCACAACATGTCCTCCAAACACTTTTTCTCAATGCACTGACCAATAAAGGCAAGCTTACCAAATGCCTTTTTCACTATCCTGTCTATCTGCGACCCTGCTTTCATGGAACAATGAACCTGCATTCCAAAGTCTCTTTGTTCAGCAACATTCCCCAGGACCTTACCATTAAGTGTATAAGTCCAGCCCTGATTTGACTTACCAAAAATGCAGCAGCTCACATTTATCTACATTAAACTCCATCTGCCACTCTTCAGTCCCTCGCTGTCCACTATACCTCCAATTTTGGTGTCATCTGCAAACTTACTAACCATACCTCCTATTTTCACATCCAAATCATTTATATAAATGATGAAAAACAGTGGACCCAGTACCGATCCTTGTGGCACACCACTGGTCACAGGCCTCCGATCTGAAAAGCAACCTTCCACCACCACCCTCTGTCTCCTACCTTTGAGCCAATTTTGTATTCAAATAGCTAGTTCTCCCTGTATTCCATATGGTCTAACTTTATTGACCAGCCAGGCATGAGGAACTTTGTTGAACATCTTACTGAAGTTCATATAGACAACGTCCATCTCTCTGCCTTCATCGATCGTCTTTGTCACTTCTTCAAAAAACTCAGTCAAGGTAGGAGACACGAATTCATCAAACTCCATGTAGATATATAGCACATAAAGGGAATTCTATTTCAAGTGTTTTTATTTCAAGAAGTGCATACATTCACTGTGAACATAATTGTAATTTTGCATACAAATTAATGTGTAATTTCCTACTGGCACTTAGTATACAGTGACGTTCACATAAAAATCTAACTCAAAGTGATATTTCCAGGTAAACTAAAGACAGCAATTTAAGTAAACCTTATTGATAAACCGATTCATCGAAGATTGTACATATTTAAGGTTGTGGGGGTAGTTACCTAAGTTGGCTAGGGTGTGGTTCAGAATAATGCCAACAATGTGGGTTTGATTTCTATTTTGGTATGATCTGGGGACCTACTTCCCCTTCTCTTGAGAGCGGAAGGCAATCACAAGGTAAAGAAATCCAAATGTTCAATAGCCTCTGAATTAAACAATGTTTCTCCTAACCTCATTCCTAATTGGCTTGCGTCTGACACTGTATCCCCTGGTTCCAGAATCTTCCTGCCCACTCCCACCCAGAGCACACAGCCAAGATAAACATGCTTCCTGCGTCTACCTTGGTCATCCTTTTAATTATCTTGTAAATTTCTATGCAATCTTTTCGAATTCTTCTGAACTCTAGAGTATACAGGCCTACTGCCCTGAATCTCTCCTCAAAAGTCAGTCCTGTCATCACAGGAATTCATCTGGTGCACCTCCACTGAACTCTCTCTGTAGATACATTGTCATCTTTGGTGAGGGAAACTGCTCACAATACTCCACGCACAGAGCACTCATGAAATCGAGAGTTGTTATTCGTGATTTTACAGCATTTAGTTGCAATATTTTTAATGTTGTTCCTGGTAATTGGTGGCATTGCAACTAATTTTTTTTTATTTACTTCCAAGTTTCATTATATTTTTTATCATAAGAAGGAACTTAAACTCCCTGATGACTGAATGGACAATTTCAAGAGTGGACCATCGGGCATTTGGGGAGGGTGGTGGCTGATAGACCATTTTAATGGCGAAGCCTCATTTAAATGGAGCCAGCAAAATGTCCTCCTCAAATAAATGCCCAGTGGCAACCTGCTGAGTTCAGGCTGGCACAATACCAGGCAACTCAAAGGCAGACAGCCAAAAAAAACCCAACAAAGTATGTTATCGGGTGGAGTGAGGGTAAGTATGGGATGGTCTTGCGGCTGCGTAAGAGGGTATCCTGTAGTGGTAGCAGCTCAACTACGTTTCTTGGATTTAGAGCAACACCTACTTTCTCTTCATGAACACACAGAAGTAAGTACATTGCTTCCATTTAAGAGCTATCACTTCTGGTCTGACAGTCTCTGGTACATTCTAAGTCATTGAAAGGTGCTTCATCAGGCCAAACTGATTCTAAGACAAAGAAGGAGATATTATGAGGGGTGACTGAAGCTTGGTCAGAGCTAGATTTTTAGATAGCTCTTAAAAAAAGGCTGAAAATTTGGAAAGGTAGTTTCATGTGAGAATCCAGAGTTGAGCACTTAGATAGCAAAAGGCACAGCTGCCAATAGCATAGTGAATGGACAAGCGGATTGATGAAAACTGGTTTTCTAAGTGGATTGTAGGACTGGTGTACAGAAATAAGGAAGAGTGAGGCTGTGAAGTGATTTTAATATGAAGATGAAAACTTCCAATGCATTGTTGTATTGCAACAACTTAACTGCGACTCCACAAACAGACTATGAAATTCTACAACATTGTGAACACTCTTTCTGGTCCTTATTCTTTTTGCTGCTATTTAGGATATATTTACGGGCTGGCATTTCATGATGATATGCAAATGATGCATTATTTAATGTGTTCTACCATTTGCATCCTAGCAATGCTGAATGCAAGGGATACCTCAGCAAACAGTTTTATTGACCACTATACTTAAAACTTAAAAGGCCAATTTGTCTCCTGCAATCTATGATACAGAAATTCATTGAATTATGGAAAAAAGTCTATTTGAAAATATACTATCAAGATTGAAATACTTCTAGTGCAGTACTGTCTGCACCAGATGGATCATAAAATGATAAATGGTCACCCACATTAAACCCTAGGGATTTGAGATTTTCTCTGAGTCTTCGGTGTTTTCTAAGAATCAGATCACTTGGTAGATGAACTTGTTTGGTTGGACAGTATAGAATTGTTGTCTGTACAAAATGCCCAAGCCTCATGGCAATTTGCGGGTTTGCATACAGAAGCTGGCTTAAGGATTCACACTCAGCACAGTTCCCATATTCCCAATATGGATGTTCATGGTGTTCTGGCCTTGGATGATAAATTATGTTCGGGAACATGCTGAGGCATCTCTCACAAGGTGCTCTGGGTTTTAAATACGCACGTTGCTTAAGAGTTGAGTTATTTTCCGGACCATCAGTATTCTGGACATCTCCTGATCTCACCACAGTGTGCTCATGTTGATTGTTTGATGCAGTGCCTGCTTCAGAAGGGCTTTCTTCACTGAAAGTTATATTGTAAGCCATGGAGTATATGGCTTCAGGGAACAAAAGACATTGGTTTTTATACCAGTTGCCAATACATACTGCCAGGCTAATATCCTGGTGCCATGTTTTACAGCACAATATATCGATCATAATTTCTTTCTGCTGTCTTCCTCTACATGACACTGAAGCACCAAAATAATTGTCTGTTTTCTCATTTGTGATGTGAAGATTCCAAAAATAGCAGTGGCTGATGGCTTTTGATACAAAGATATTTCCACATTTGTTACTTTTAGTATCAGAAAGTTCCAGAACCATTTGTTCAGTCAGATGCAACAGGAACTTCAAAACTTCATCAGTTTTTCTTGTTCCCAAGATTTCAACAACCTGTAAAAATAAATAGGTGTTAATCAGAAAGAAACAGCTTCTATTTAGGTAGAACTTTTCAACCAAAGGCTTGGTCATGGTCAAAGGATTACTTCTGAAGTATAGTCACTGTTCTGTAGGAAAACATTGAAGATAATTTCCACACATCAATTCGCAAACGAGAGTAAAATAAACAACTGATCAGTCCGTTTTGCTGGTGTAGGTGAATCATGATATTTGCAGAACGGCATCTGATGTTTCACAAACAGCAGCACGGGATCTTTTACATCTACTTGAACTTCACAAAGACAGTTTATTGTCTAATTTGAAACACTACACCTCTGTCCATACAGGAACTGAAGTGCCAGCCTGGATTAGGGTAAATTTGAATTCGTAATCGATTCCATGGTGGCAGTGGTATGTCTAAGCAAGTTGTCACAAACAAAAACTAACAAGGAGCCTCCATGCCGGGATAATAGCCTGGCTTTTCGTTCAGATGCTGGTTGGTACGTTCAGTGTGATAAATGTTCGTAGTACACTATTATGAAGTGTAAACCTGGGGTCTAAAATGGACAGAACCACATATAGTTTTAATTTGATTTGCTTTTCTATACCATGAAAGTTAAGAAATAGAAGGACCTAGTTTTAGTTTAAGGGATAACAAGGTGTAGAGCTGGATGAACACAGCAGGCCAAGCAGCATCAGAGGAGCAGGAAGGCTGACGTTTCGGGCCTAGACCCTTCTTCAGAAATGAAGTGTATAGTTTTAGTTTAAGTTTTCCTTTCTGTCAATTGTGCTGGAGAGTCTGAAATTTTGTTTAGATGAATTTAAATGAGCCTTGGGGATAAAAGTAATTGTTTAGGTGATAATTCAGTGCCTTAGCAACAAGAGTAGAAGAAAAAAAGGGGAGGGGGGGGGTGTGGAGAAAATTGAACTTGTGTCCTATGACACAGGGAGACAGAAACTTAAACCATTTCTTTCAGAAATCAGAACTATTCAAACAGTCAGCAAGTGGGCCAGTTTCCTTTGGTTAGAAGCAGGTTATTTAGAGAAAATAAGAGCTTGTAAGACCAGCAGTACAGGTTATAGTCTCCAGACCAGTCAGGGAAGACGAAAGAAGTCCTGAGTGGTTTAATATCAACTAAAGCAAGTTCCAGAACAAAAGGCTGTAGAAGAGAAGTTTAAAGAATCCATGTTTAAAAAAATAAGTGAGCTGCGTTAGTGTTTTAGAATCTCAGAAAGAGATGTGCCATCAATCCTTTAACACTGCTCGGGAATTCCTGGGTGAAAAACAACAAAATATGTGAGTGACAGTACTGGTCTGAACTGGAGTTCCATTTTCAGGTACTCAAAATCAAGTTGGGGCAAGATCCGTCTTTTCTAAGTTTTACTGGTTTTCCTTCTGTATAACAAACAGGAATATTCAGAGGTACAATGACTCTCACAGAGTGTCAATAAAATACATAAGACAAATAAAACTTGTGATAAGGATAATGAATAGGGAGAGATTAAAAATCAATTGTGAAGAGGGCACATCTATCATGCATTTTGAGGGGAATGAGGGCTCAAACACAAACTATACAAGTTGCATTCTGCCTTCATGGTCACTGTTCGTCAACAAATTCAACTCAATTGCTCACTGATACATCGTTCTCCTTCATAACTAACAAGATTACCATTTTGGAAGTGATTTTGGAACTCCTTTGACAAGGCATTCTCCCACCTCCCTCTGGATGATTCCTAAAAGTATGTCACTGAAAACGAATTAAACAATGTTCCTACCATCTAAAATGACTGTCACCCGTGGATGTCTATTATGTGTGCCCTACCAATCCTGCCCTTCTAAATATCCAACTGATAGGAGATTCTGAGGGAGTTCCCAAATATATTGGCAGGACCCTTGGAGGAATTGAAGTGGTACTTCTTTGTCTTTGGTTATGGGTCATTTTCCCATTAATACAAAGGTATTAGCGCTGAGTGAGGTCCTCTGCATACATTGTACATGTTCAGCATATTCAGTGGGAAGGAAGTATGAATTCTTTTGTAGTGCACCCTGCAGATAGCTGGTGAATAGGAAATGATGGTCATCATTGATGTTACCTCAATGTTTTGAGCTTCATTCCCTGAGGAAGCATCAAGCATAGAAGGTGCATTGTGCATCACACAAACTGCCTGTCTTTGCTTATCCAGATTCAACTTTGATTCAGTATCAAGGTCATTCATAATTCCAATAATTTTTCAATGGAGCTATTCCAAGTAAAATTGTTTTGTTTCGCTCTGGACTGTAATATTGGAGGCTGCAAGAAAATTCTTGTGCCCTTCCAGCAATCACCCCATCACTGAGGAAAATCTGTTCGCTGTTTGCTTACATAGGAGTATTAACAGAAATGAGAAGTGAGCAGGGATTAGACTGATGGCTGGACTTAATTAACTAAGAGGCATATGTTTATGTCCTGTAAAACATTACATTTCTCGGGATGAAGTTATTAACTTACAGCATCAAGTAGCACCGTGAAAGGAGGGCGTGTTGGAAGGTGGGTGTTGTAATTCCGAAAGACATCTGGGTACGAGGCAGATAATAGCTCAAATTCAATTTTATTAAAAAATGAGTTGGGTTCAATGACAGGATCATTAATGTTCCCAAAAAATAATACTGTGTGCAATATCTGTAAAATGAAGAAACATTGTCATCATCAAAATACACACGTGTATTCAAAAATAGGCATTCAATGCAAACTAGTTGAGTTAGAGATGTCTAAAAAATTTTAAATATGCGTAATATATAGAGGGCATCTCATCATTGGAAAGAAAACAGAAATTAGATTATGGATCAAGAGGAAATGGTAGAATGTCAGAGGGCTCATCCTTCATTAGATACCATAAGACCATAAGACATAGGAGCAGAAATTAGGCCATTCGGCCCACCGAGTCTGCTCCACCATTCAATCATGGCTGATAGGTTCCTCAGCCACATTCTCCTACTTTCTCCCCGTAACCCTTGATCCCCTTAATAATCAAGAACCTATCTATCTCAGGCTTAAATGTACTCAATGACCTGGCCTCTACAGCCTTCTGTGGCAGTGAATTCCACTCTCTGGCTGAAGTAGTTTCTCCTTATCTCCATTCTAAAGGGTCTTCCCTTTACTCTAAGGCTGTGCCCTAGGGTCCTGGACTCTCCTACCAATGGAAGCATCTTCCCAACATCCACTTTGTCCAGGCCATTCAGTATTCTGAAAGTTTCAATTAGATCCCCCCCTCATCCATCTAAACTCCAATGAGTATAGTCCCAGAGTCCTCAAACATTCCTCATATGTTAAGCTTTCCATTCCTGGGACCATTCTCGCGAACTTCCTCTGAACCTGCTCCAGGGCCAGTACATCCTTCCTGAGATATGGGGCCCAAAACTGCATGTAATACTCCAAATGTGGCCTGAGCAGAACCTTATAAAGCCTCAGTAGTACATCCCTGCTTTTATATTCAAGTCCTCTCAAAATAAATGCCAACATTGCATTTACCTTCCTGACTACTGACTCATACCCTGCCCTCCACTAGTGAGTATGATTTGGAAACACATCCGTGATTTACCAAACCATGGAAGGCAAGCTGCAATTCCATGGTTGTTTATAATCCAGTCATGGGATGTTGATATCATTAGCAAAACCAGCATTTAATTTCAATCCCTAAATGCTCTTGAGAAGGTGGTGGTGAGCTGCCTTCTTGGATTGCTGTAATCTTTGTTGTGTAAGTACCAGGGCAATGCTGTTAGGGAGAGAGTTCCTGGATTTTGTCCCAGCGACACTGAAGAAACGGCAATATATTTCCAAGTTGTGTAACATGAAGAGGAACTTGCAAGTAGAGATGCTAGCAAGCATGTGTTGTCCATGTTTTTCAAGGTGATAGGGATTGGGAGGTGCTGTTCTAGGAGCCTTGGTGGGATGCTGAAGTGCATCTTGTAGATGGTACACAGTGCTGCCAATGTATGCAATTGCTGAAGAGAATGTACGTTTAGGGTGATGACTCGAGTCGATTTAGTGAATTGTTTTGCCCCGGATGGTGTCAAATGTTCTTGAGCATTTCAGGCTTGTATTCACCCAGGGAAGTACGGAGTATCCCATCACAGTCCTGATTTGTGCCTTATAAATAGTGGACACATTTTGGAGAATCAGGAATCATCACCATCACTATGCTGTCTATTCGCAACCTTTTGGGAGTCATCATTGAGCAAAAGTTGAAATGATCCAGATAAATCAATATTGATGAGGACACTGTGAATAGTGGCTCTCCTCCTGCCCCTTGGAACCTTTCCAATATTTACATGCTCAGGTCTAAAGTGTGACTGAACACTCACCACACGCCTGGCTGGGTTCAGCTGGAGCAACACATACCAAATCAGGAGAAAGGGAAGGGCAGTTTGCTTAATCATTGCTCATGCTATTGGACTCAATATTCACCTCGCCAATAATAGTGGACCTTGCCTGTAAGATGCACTGCAGCAACTCGGCAAAAATATTTTTTGAGCAACTCTCTCCCTTTGGAAACTTATCACCAAGAAAAACAGAAGTAACAATGTCCCGGGAAGACGACCAGTTCAGGGTTTCTGCCGAGTTGACATTCCTTCCCTGTCACTGAATGAATATGCTGGAAATCCTCTACCTGACACATCTGTGGGAGCATCGCCAGGACTTCAGTGGATCAAGGTGAAAGTGAATATTGACCTTTTTAAGATAACAAGGTGTAGAGCTGGATGAACACAGCAGGCCAAGCAGCATCATAGGAGCAGGAAGGCTGACGTTTCGGGCCTAGACCCTTCATCAGAAAGACCCTTCTCCAGCATCTGCAGTTCCTACTATCATTGACCTTTTTAATATAGCTAGCAGTGGAAAATAAATCTGACCTCGTTTGAGAGTAATGAGAAAAAAGCACGTAGAATATTATTTTATTCATCATTAGTAAATAATTCCAGTACTTTTTCTTGTTACTGCTCCACTCTGATGTCATGCCCAAGTTGCCATCATATCGGCAAAGTGTAGTAAGTAGATCTCACCATTAGGAGTTGGGTCATTGTGATTTGCTCGTAGATTATAAGCCCAGAAGCAGTTTAAGGGGTCATTACATTTAAAGCTGTTCTGGGTGCAGAACTGAAAATATGTTACTAAAGAGTGTCTGTGAAGTTGACAGGAGGGCTAAGACAGATAAGTGGCAAAATTGGGTAAATGTTTCACCATGAAGTTAGGCAGAGTTGAGAAGATGCAGTGGCAAGAGATGGCCAGTGTATTCTGTGCCAATGACAACATTCACACAAATCAACTCAGAGCCTGAGCAAGATTTCTCCAGGCTAGATAAGTAAGAGTGATGAATCTAATAATGTACTAAGTATTTTAGCCAAGTGTCTGAATTGTCCTCAGACGACATTAAAATGCTTCAATAGCTTGTCGTGTCCAGTAGGTCATATGATCTTTCAAATCCCCAACCTTTACCTGAATACACTTTCCCACTCAGTCTTAACATGTAAATACTCTGCTTTCCTCACACAGACATCCAACTGATTGGTGTGTGTGCATTTCTAATGCTCCTATTATGGGCTGCCTGCTGACAGCGGCTTTCCAGCACTGCATGCAGAAGAGACAGATCATTCTTACCTTCTGCAAGGATATGGCAACCCATAACAGCAAAGAAAATTGACAACTCATGGTAGACTCAGAAATAACTGATGCTGTTGCTCTCCTTGTAACAGTGTTCTTCTACATAAACATCCCCTACCACATCTCTAAGAATCCGAGCAGAAGCACTTCTGCAAATTTTTCATTGCGCTTTCACTTTCAGATAGATTGGTCAGAGCTTCTGTAGATTCAAACTTTCAGTTGTGTTTCCAAAATAATTTTCAATGTTATTGCTCCCTAAAGATAATGCTGGTCTTCAAATCTACCATGCATCCCTCTGATCCCTATGAAGGGAAAGCTTTTAGGTAATACTGGATGAAGCCACCGAAGGAGCTGAAGGTGGAGAAGTAGCAAGCAGCAGGTTCTTCTCAGCCAGACAGGAGTATAACACAGTGGATGTGAAAGACAGTGTGGCGTATAACATGGTTCATATGGAGCAGGGATCTGGCACAATGGATCCCTGCCCTATCTGCTCTTTCACCAAGTGCCAGAAAATAATTATGTGGCTGACACCTCCAACCTCAGTTAAAGACTTTCCAAATTAGTAAAAGCCCCAGTAATCAATTCAGTAGGATATTTGTTAATCAGAAAGATAACAGGATCAACCAATTTTCAACTTGATGTGTTTTATGAACAAGTTAAAGCAGTACCTCTTTGAAGTAGGATCTTCCTCTATCTTGCGTGAGCTTTCCCTCTCGCACAGAATCTGCAATGAATGAACGAGCCTTGTCCAAAAGCTGAAATCCACTTTTGACCACATTTTGCACCTGAGGGTTTTCACATTGTACAAAGTGCACCATTTTCTTACTAGCACAGAAAGACAATTAAACAGGTCACTTATTGCGCAAAAATGGCTATTTTCTAGGAATATACTAGGATGATTTTTTTCATTTGTATTACTTTTGACTGTACTTGGCTGATTTTGGGTTGACAAAAAAAAGCAATAAATATGAACAATACAGTCAACATCACCACAAAACTATCCCAAAAAAGATTTGTGCAGATCTATTCAGAGTCTGTTCCATGACATGTAAATAGGGATAGGTGGGTGTGAAGTGGGCTTTCATGCAATTTATCACATTAAGTATCCCAAACATGACTGCTGACAACCCAGTCATGACCTATGACTGAGCTGTATGCACAGTAACAGCAGTATTCCTGAAAACACCAATGCTCTTCGAAAGTTCATGTTTGGGGTATGGGTGTTGCTGATAAGGCCTACTTTTATTTCCTAGTTCTTCATTACGACAGAAAACAGTTAAGAATCAGTCATATTACTGTGTGTCTGGAATCACATGTTGGTTAGACCGGGTAAAGAAAGCAGTTAGCTTTTCAACAAGTTTTTATATTGATAACTTTTATATTAATTCTGGATTTATATATTTAATTGAAATTTAAATTTCCTAGTTGCCACGGTGGAAACTCATGTTTCCGGGACATTAGCCCAGGCCTCCAGGTTGCAAGTCCAGTGACATAGCCATAATGTTCTCACATCTCTCATTTTTTTTTATTTCAATGAGATGGTAATTCACTGAAACATCAATATACAATGCTGCAGATTCAGTTTTAACAATAAAATATATTCTATACAAAAGAAGCAAAGATAAAACAGAACAAACCAAATTATTACAGAATACACATACTTAATGATTTCTAAATGTATGGTAAAAATTCAATCCCATTAATCCCTAAAGCCCTCCATCCAGAGAGAATTTCTTTCTCTTTTACCTCTTGAGGGATTAATTTAACTGTGGCTTTGCAGAATTGTGTATCACTGTAGTTGACAACAATGAATCACCAAAATCCAAAAGAACTATGAGAACGTCACCTCATTCCACCCTCGTGGTTTGGATTTCCTATCCACAGAATTTGTTCCTCTACCTATGTTTACCACCCATGATATTTCTGCAGAACTGTCCATCTCGACTGCTCTGTTTGTGAATGTATGTGTGCACGTTTGCATTTAAAGAGGTTAAAGTTTATGTTTGAATATTGTAATTGACAATCCACTTTACCACTTATTAAAGGATAAGTTTTGTTTTCTTGTTTATTGATGCAACCTGGTGCGATTTTAGAAAATAAGAACTCAAAGCTGAAATAAGTAAGTCAACTTCTCAATCCTGCTCCCACAATTTAAAATGATTATGGCTTATCTCATCTCAGCCTCAACGCCACTTTCTTGCCCTCTCCCCATAAATCTTTCACCCATTACTAAATTAAAAAACTGTCAATCTCTTCCTATAGTTAGTCTCCCAGTGTTGAAGTTTCTTTTATCTTAGATGGTGATCAAAGTCAGGCGAATTAACCAACCCAAAGATTAAGTTGTTCATTTATATATTTGTGTCGACTATTGGAACAATAAGGCTCAAGTTACAGCGCACTCTTCCCATCAGGGTTGTGTGACCAATTAGGTAATCATAGACTACTCTGAGAAGCTGACAGTTCATGGGGTGATATTATCAACTCTACTTTTTGTCAGAAATCGCACTCTTCCAATGAAATGCATGCTTTGCACCAACATCAATCACTTTAATTCCTGACAGAAAACTTCTTTCAACTTAGCTGGCATGAAGTATTCGTATTTTAGTTGCTCGCTGATGGGAAATGAAGACTTCATAGTCTCTTTATATCAAAATTCTGTCAGTATGGTCAACAAGTGAGCACAACACACATAACACCAAATATTAAAGCTGACCTACCTTTTGACTTTAGACACAGTTGGAACTAGGGAAAAAAAAAACAAATTGCAATTGCACTTTGAAATTTCTGAGCATTGCACAGGATTTATATATAAAAAACTGACTAAGCAACTGACCATAATAATAATATCATTATAAATGTTCATTATTTTAAAAATACATCAATTCATTTAAATTAATCTGCTTATTATCTCATTTAAAACAACAAATAGAGGAATATTGTTCTCCTGTGTTTATTAATTGTACTTGATTACATATGAATTACCAACTGCAATTTATTTTGTTTTTAAATGTAGCCTCATTGGCAGTTTAGTCTCTGATTTCAATTCATCATGTCCTTACATTATACGTGACTATGAAACAGGTAACATGATTGATAACATAACTCTGTATGAGATAGGTTAGCCCCATTCATGGAGTCTCATCTAAAATTAAGCGTAGTATATCTACAATCATACCTGGGTTTGGTAGTATTATTCCATATTCAATGAACTGTCGGGCTTTCTCATGGTACATGGGGCAAGTTATTTGTAAACAGTGATTTGCCGTTTTCTCTGCTGGGCACAGAAAGTATGCCACCATTACCTAGAAACAAAATTAGCAGCTCTAACATTACAGAGTTTACAAACCTTTACAGAACCATACATCCATTTCAACCACAAACATAAGAACTGGGTAAAAATGAATGACTTTCATGTTACCTGCCATTGGCCTCTAGAAATCAATCTGGCTTGTTTTTGTCATTTCTAACAATGCAAGCAGCAAAGGAGAACATGCAAGTATACATAGAAATGAAACCCTGCTCCATTTACTCTTTTATATTCAGTTTATTTATAAATAAATAATGCATTAATGCAATCCAAGTTTTATTTCTTGTGATCAAATAAATTATAATTGAAATATACTTCTTTCAATTGAAGGTGATGAAATGAATTCTTCCACACAACAGAGCAGTGCAGAAGGAAATGGACATTTATTCTGAGTAGACTTGCTACTTAACACAAAAGAAACATCTATACATGTTTCTGAGCCATTCTTAAAATACATCTGATGCATCTTACTAGATTCTCAAAGTGCGTGCAACCATTTCAATCAGAACATGGTTGACCAGGTATATATGTGTCAGCTCTGAAGTAGCATTGATGCTAGCTAAAGAGAGGTTCATAAATCTGACAGTCACATATTACATTTGAGAAAGGTCAATTCATTAATAGAAAATATCACCGTTTTATGGGTATGGCTAAGTGTCTCAAAATTTATTAAAAGAAGTGTAATAGCAGGATGATCTAAGTTGTATTGTAATTAACTCCCACATTCTACATCAAGGTAATTGCCCTGATCTCCCCCTGGTGAGGAATTAAAAGTGACTCTTCACAATTTTCATACTTTCTTATTAAAATAAACTTAATGACTGGCTGCAGTTTCTGGTGTTGAGGGGTTTTGAGGCAATGAAATCAATTCATTTAACATGATCTGAAATCTGAAGGAACAGACTGGAGGCCTGTGACCAGCAGTGTTCCACAGGGATCAGTACTGGGTCTTCTTTTGTTTGTCAGTTGTATAAATGATTTGGACGAGAATATAGAAGGCGTAGTTAGTAAGTTTGCGGATGACACCAAGATTGATGGCAAAGTAGACAGTGAAAAAGGTTTTCTAAGATTACAAAGGGATCTTGATCAAATGGGTCAATGGGTTGAAAAACGGCAGGCGGAGTTCAATCTGGATAAATGCGAGGTATTACATTTGGGTACTACAAACCAAGATAGGGCTTGTATAATTAATGGTAGGGCCTTGGGTAGTGTTGTGAGAACAGAGGGACCTAGGGGTGCAGGTACATAATTCTTTAAAGTTTGCATCACATATGGACAGCGTGGTTAAAAAGGCATTTGGCACGCTTGCCTTCATTGCTTAGTCCTTTGAGTACAGGAATTGGGATCTTATGTTGAGGTTGTACAGGACATTGGTGAGGCCTCTTCTGGAGTACCATGTCCAGTTCTGGTCGCCCAGTTATCGAAGGGTATTATCAAGCTGGACATGGTTCTGAAGAGATTTACCAGGATGTCGCCGGGTATGGAAGGTTTGACTTATAAAAAAAGGCTGGGGCTTCTTTCACTGGAGTGTAGGAGGTTGACAGGTGACCTGATAGAAGTTTATAAAATAATAAGAGGTATAGATAGAGTTGATGGTAGTTGTCTTTTCCTTCAGATTGGGAATTTCAAGATTAGGGGGCACATTTTTAAGGTGAGAGTAGAGAGAGATTAAAAAGATATAAGAGGCAAATTTTTTACATAGAGGGTGGTTCACATGTGGAATGAATTTCCTGAGTAAGTGGTCGATGCAGGTACAATTACAATGTGTAAAAGACATTTGGATGGATACATGAATAGGAAGGGTTTGATGGGATATGGAACAGGAGCAGGCAGGTGGGACTAGTTTATTTCTGATTATAGTTGGCATGGACTGGTTGGACCAAAGGGTCAGTTTCCAAGCTGTACGACTATGACTCAATAAGATAAAATGTTAGATACATTTACAAGTTAGAGTTACAAGTTAGCCAGGAAGGACCTAAACAGAGAGCTAAGAAGAGCCAGGAGGGGACATGAGAAGTCTTTAGCAGGTAGGATCAAGGAAAACCCTAAAGCTTTCTATAGGTATGTCAGGAATAAAAGAATGACTACAGTAAGATTGGGGCCGGTCAAGGACAGTAGTGGGAAGTTGTGCGTGGAGTGCGAAGAGATAGGAGAGGTGCTAAATGAATATTTTTCGTCAGTATTCACACAGGAAAAAGACAACGTAGTCGAGGAGAATACTGAGATACAGTCTATTAGACTAGACGGGATTGAGGTTCATAAGGAGGAGGTGTTAGCAATTCTGGAAGGTGTGAAAATAGATAAGTCCCCTGGGCCGGATGGGATTTATCCTAGGATTCTCTGGGAAACTAGAGAGGAGATTGCAGAGCCTTTGGCTTTGATCTTTATGTCGTCATTGTCTTCAGGAATAGTGCCAGAAGACTGGAGACTAGCAAATGTTGTCCCCTTGTTCAAGAAGGGGAGTAGAGACAACCCTGGTAATTATAGACCAGTGAGCCTTACTTCGGTTGTGGGTAAAGTGTTGGAAAGGATTATAAGAGATAGGATTTATAATCATCTAGAAAGGAATAATTTGATTAGGGATAGTCAACACGGTTTTGTGAAGGGTAGGTCGTGCCTCACAAACCTTATTGAG